CACACACACACACACACACACACACACACACACACACACACACGCACGCACGCACGCACGCACGCACGCACGCACGCACGCACACACGCACACAAGCACACACGCACACACGCACACACGCACACACAAATACACACCAAGAGGTGGAGGACACCTCGGGCGGCGCCGCCGCGAGCGCCGCGCGCGCCTGGTCCGCGAGGCCGCCCGCGACCCGCGCCACGTCAGCGCCGCCCGTCGCAGCGGCCGCCTCCGCGCCGGAGAGCGGTTGCTCGGCGGCGCCCAGCAACGCGTCTGCGGCGACCGCGCCGGCGAGCCAGGCGAAGTACGCGGCGCAGAGGGCGGCGGCCGCGACTGTCAGAAGCCAGGATGCAGCTGCCCCGACGGCAAGCAGGGCGGCGCGCGCGCGGAGGGCGGCGGCGATGGGCGTTCCTGCGTGTGGGAGCGGTTGAAATCGGGCGGCGAAGGAAGGGGTGGATTGATACATCAGGGCAGGCAGGGTTGTGACTGAAGGATGTGCGCTTGAATGGCACCCAAAGGCGCCTGCTGGCTGCCCCTGCGGCGCCAACTGCCGCCCCACGCGGCACCGTGCGCGGCACGCGGCGCGGCAGGGGTGGCTAACCGGAGCGGGCGGCTTGCGAGACGTGGGCAGCGGCAGCGACCAGCGCCAGCGCCGACGCGGCGAGCAGCGCGATGAGGCCGCCTTCGCGCAGCGAGGCCGCGGCGCCAAGGACCGCATCCCGTGTGGAAGCCAGGTCGGCGGGCGCGGGCGCGCCGGCCTGGCCACTGCCGAGCGCTTGCTGTACGAAATCAAACGCCACCGACAGCTGCTCCTGTGCCAGGCCTGCGTATATGAACCATATCGGGATGCCGAAGGCCAGGGGGGCGAAGCAAAGGAGCCACGCGGCGGTCCAACCAACAGCGCAGCACCAGCGGGCGGCGCCCATCGGGATCGCTGCTGTGTTGGCGGAGGGCCGCAGCGTGGTTGCAGCACGTTGCTGCGATCACGATGTGACGCTTTAGAATTTTGATAGATGCCAGGTATGATAAGCGCGGCACCCGCTCGCCGGAAGGTCACTCCCGCGTTCAACGGGTGAGGTGCGGAGCTGCCTTGGGCGGATGATGACGGTTGCGCCGTGGTGTTGACACCTCGAGTGTATCCTATCAATTCAAACTTACCAGATCCTAGCCTCAGCGGCCATCCTTGTCATATCACGGAGTCTGCGTCGATCGCTCCAATACGGTGACAAAACTGCACTGCCAAACGAGAAATCAGAAAGCCGGAATTTATAAAAGCATGTCCGACACGATCCTCCGCACGTGGCCACACGCCGGGGCGGCGTGCGGCCAGCCGCGCCCCTCCTTGTGAGGCCTGGTCCCTCCGCGCCGTGGTCGGCTCGGGCTGACGACAGGACTCGCATGTGGTGCATGGCTCGTCTTCGTGGGGGGGAAGGGTGTGTCTGACTGGTGGGGTCGGGCCCGGCCGTGACAATGGCAACGACCTGGGCAGCTGTGTTAGCGCGATGATGCGTGCGGCGGGCTCTCCGCGCAGCCACCCTTTGGCTGGCTGCATTGCAGTCAGCCTATGGATGGTGATCTCGACAAGAGCACTCACGTACCTGACATATACAGCCTTGGGTGGGGAGTCGCTGGAGTCAATCAGTCAACACATGCAGTTCGTTCGGATGTGGACGCGCTCATGTGCCAGCTCGGCTATAGCTGACCAGCATTGCTCGCGTGAAATCGCACAAATATCACAAACAACACCATTAATGAGTTTTAAACGTCGTCGCGCTGTGAAAGGGGCCACCGTGTCACCCAGTCACCGTCGGGAGCGCCTTGAGCGATTGATGATGGTCGTGCCTAGATGTGATTATCTTCGGCACGACATCTTTCAATTGTTACAGTTTCAATCAATGCTCGCGTCCACACACTTGTGCACCACTCGCAGATACTGTGTACAACGAAAGGCCGTCGATCGCCTCAATCTACCGCAGCATCGCGACATAATTCTACAAGGCCCCAGTCATGCAGCTTTCTCAACACCGTGTCCCATGCGTGGCCAAGCGCCCGAGCAACGTGCGGCCGGTGGCGCCCACAGTCGCGCCGCGATGGCGCACCGCGCCGCACCCCTCTGTGGCCGCCAGCGCTGTCGCGGCCGAGCCTGTTGTGGACGTGAAAGGCGCCCGAACCCCTTCTACCGAGGCCCCTTCCCCAGCCGCACCCCAGGCAGCAGTTGCGCCTGCCCACGAGGCCCCCAAAGCGTTTTCGTGGACAAAGCAGTGGTAAGAGGCGGCCACGTGGCATGGCGGTTCTCGCACCCAGCCACATGCGCAGCACATGCAGGGGACTGAGCGGAGCAGCAGCTGTGTGCGCCCTTAACAGCACACCACTTCTCTGGCTGCGTAGGCAAAGCAATCCGATGGCTCCCAGCTCGTTTTGCAGACTTCCCACCCACGCCCTGCTTGTGAAACCGCCCCATCCGCCCGGTCAGCACCCCGCCTCGCCCCAGCCGCCCCTCGACCCTCTGCCGGCCGCCTGCCCCCTCATGCGTCCCCCCCCCCTCGCCAGGTGGCCAGTGCACGTGGTATCTCTGATGGACGAGCGACGGCCGCACGCGGTGACGCTGCTGGGACAGGACTACGTGGTCTGGTTCGACGCGCCAGCTCAGCAGTGGCGGCTGTTCAAGGACAGGTGGGGGCATGCACCCGTGTCCTTGCATGCACGCCTGCATTCGAGCTCTTGGTATGTTTTCTTCAGGCGGGGGTGTGCGTCGACCGGAGTGTGCGGGGTCGCTGCGCCAGTCAGCGCTCCTGGACCTGCCTGGCGTGTGGCGAGTGAAGGACCACCTAATTCCAGCACCACGCAGCCGGCAGCACGGCCGACAGTGGCGGCGCCTGCTTTTTTGGTTGCTGCCGCCCGCCCTCGCCACCCTGCTTCGGGCCCTGACAAAGACGTCCTTGCGGCGCCCCGACCGCGGTGCTCGGCGCCTCGCCGCGGCCGCAGGTGCCCCCACCGGCTGGCGCCACTGAGTGAGGGGCGGCTGGAGGCGGACGGCACCCTGGCCTGCTCATACCAGTGAGAGGGTGGGGGTGGGGGGTGGGGCTGATCAACCACTGTCTCGTGCGGGGGTCGAGCACGGGGGGGTCATGATGACATCATCAGCTCTTCACCCGCATTCGCGCCAGCTCTGGTTGCCCGGGCCGGGCCCTGCCGCCCACACGCAGCCCCCACAC